TCCGACATTCCTCCCCTTGGAGACGGTTGCGTGTTCTTCCTGTTCGCAGATGATACCGCAATAGCCGTCAAAGGAAGGATGCCTCGCGAAATAACGAACAAACTTCAACGATGCCTTAACGCCTTTGCTGATTATGCCACCACGTGGAAAATTAAAATCAATCCCTCCAAAACACAAGCGATCATGTTCCTACATCGGCAATCGCCCAAACTGAAACCGGCTCCATCTTGTACTGTAATCATGGATGGCACAAGGGTTGAGTGGTCCGCCGAAGTAACCTATCTCGGGATGTTGATCGATGAAAAGCTCCTCTTCCGTTCGCATGTAGAGACAACTGTAGTCAAGTGTTCTACCTTGGTTAGGTGTCTTTTTTTTTTTTTTTTTTTTTTTTTTTTTTTTATACAGGGGGGAATCTGCTCACAGACACCTGAGAAGGAACTCAGGGTGTGGGGATGGGAGAATTTCACTCCCGACCCACTAAACCTTACCCTGTGCGCTTGGCCCTTGGCCTCCCCGGAACCGCCCGAAGGCATTACTTCGTGGGAGGGGCCGCTGTAGCGCTATGGCGCCTCTCTAGCAATACTCTAACGATCTGGTCGGGCAGTAGGTAACTGCTGCTCGGCTCGCCACTGTCGTTGTAATACCGAAACTATGTGGGTGACCGCAGTCACCACCGCGCTCCAGTTCTCGGTGGTACCACACATCCTATGAACGATGTTGTCCGGACTGGTATCCGCTCCGCATATCGCTAGCATAGCGCTCGATACTGGCTCGAAACGTGGACAGGCAAACACGACGTGTTCGGCGGTCTCCTCGACACCAGCACATGTGGGGCAGGTGGGAGTACTTGCATGTCCGAACCTATGCAGGTAGCTCCTAAAGCAGCCATGGCCTGACAGGAACTGTGTCAGGTGGAAGTTTACTTCCCCATGGCGCCTGTTGACCCAGCTTGATACGGAAGGTATCAAGCGGTAAGTCCACCTCCCCTTTGTGGAGTTTTCCCACTCCAATTGCCATCTCGCGGTCGACACAACTCGCGCGTTGTTGCGCACCCCTCGAACGGTCCTCGCGTCATAACACGCCACATCCTCCTTAATGATAAGGCTGATTGGCATCATCCCTGCTATGACACAGACGGCCTCTCTCGAGATAGTGCGGTATGCACTGGCCACCCTTAAGCACATTAGCCTGTGTGTACTCTCTAATTTCTGCCTGTGGCAGTCAATATCCAGTACCGCAGCCCACGCAGGGCCGCCGTATCTGAGGATAGATACTACGACCCCAGCGAGGAGCCTGCGCTTACTGGCATTCACTGCCGAGCTGTTTGACATCATACGGGATAATGCCCCCACAGCCATAGACGCTCTCTTGCAGGCGTACTCGACGTGGCAGCCGAAGCTGAGCTTATCGTCGAGCATAACCCCCAAGAGTTTTAGAGAGCGCACAGACCTAATTGTGCTTCCGCCGACTGTCAACGTTGCATGCTGTACTGACATGCGATTGTTGACTACGACCACTTCCGTCTTGTGATGGGCGAGCTCCAGTTTCCTGGTTCTCATCCATTCCTCCACAAGCCTGACGCAGTGGGCCGCTGTCAGCTCTACCTCCTCGAGGGATTCCCCGCAGACTACCAGCGTGACATCGTCGGCAAAACCTACAATTTTCACGCCTACCGGGAATTTTATCCTCAACAGTCCATCGTACATGACGTTCCATAACACCGGGCCCAGGATGGAGCCTTGTGGCACACCTGCGGTGACTCTAACGCATTTTTCGCCATCTTCTGTGTCGTACGTCAACACACGATTCTGGAAGTAGCTTTCCAGAATCTTATACAGCCCTCCGGGAATTTGGAGCTGGTGTAGCGAGCGGGCTATCGCCCCCCAGCCCGCGCTGTTGAACGCGTTCTTCACGTCTAAGGTTAGCACCGCGCAGTAGCGAATGCCCCTTCGTTTCCGATGGACCACCTCTGCCGTCTGGATGACGTCGCGGATGGCGTCCACCGTGGATCTGCCCTTTCGGAACCCGTACTGGCTGCTTGACAGGCCGTCTACACCTTCGGTGTAGGCCGACAGCCTGTTGAGGATGACCCTCTCAAGCAGTTTCCCAGTGGTGTCCAGCAAACAGATGGGTCTGTATGCTGACGGGTCCCCAGGGGGTTTTCCTGGCTTCGGAAGCAGCACCAGCTTCTGCCGCTTCCACGCGTCTGGGAAGACGCCTACGTCCAGACAAGTCTGAAAAACAGAACGGAACATGTCTGGATTTTCCGCAACGGCCGCCCTCAGAGCCACAACCGGGATCCCATCTGGGCCCGGGGCCTTGCCCACCACCAGCGACCTGGCAATACCGCCAAGTTCACTGTTCGTCACTCTAGACACTTCTCCCTGATCCGCGCCTGGGATCCGCGGCCAGGAGTCTACGTCCCTACGCGGGAACAGGAACCCAACGATCGGAGCCAGTACCGCTGGTGATCTCTCCGGGGGTGCCGTCACGCCGCGGGTCTTTGCCATGACCACTTTGTAAGCATCCCCCCATGGGTTCGTGTTGGCGCTTTGGCATAGGCTGTCAAAGCACGCGCGCTTGCGTCTGGCGATCTCTTTATTGAGGGCTGCCTTAGCCGCTCGGAGAGCGACGCGGCGTTCCTCGCGAGATTCAGTCGTACGAGCTCGTTGCATCCTCCTTCTCGCCTGGAGGCAAGACGCCCTGAGGATAGCAATCGACTCGCTCCACCAGTACACCGGTCTGTGGCCATGCCTGGGATAGGCTCTCCTAGGCATGGTTGTATCGCACGCCCTTGTCAGTGCTGCTACCAGTTCTTCCCCCGTCAGATCCGGGGTTATTCGCTCCCGCCTCAGTGCTTCGCCGAAGACCTCCTCCTCGAAGAACGACGTCCGCCAGCCTCGAGCGCAGGAAGAATTTCCTCCTGCCACTCGCCTCTCACCTGGCCCCACACTGTACCGAATCGCCTGATGGTCACTATGAGTGTAACCCTCATCGACCCTCCAGTGTAGGTTGCCCTCCAAACTCGGGCTGCAGTATGTCACGTCGATGACGGATTCTGCACCATTCCTTCTGTAGGTACTGACCGAGCCGGTGTTGGATAGTACAACGTCCAGCTTGGCCATTGCCTCCAGTAGGATGCGTCCTCTCTGGTTGGTGTGGTGGCTACCCCACTCTACCGCCCATGCGTTAAAGTCGCCCGCAATGACCACCGGTCTTAGGCCGACAAGTACCGCAGTCAGTCTGTCCACCATCTGCGAGAATTGCTCGATAGACCACCTGGGCGGAGCATAGCAGCTACTTAAGTATACTCCGTTAACCCTGGCGATCACGAATCCCTCGCTCGAGTTGGACACGACTACCTCCTGAATGGGGAAGCTCCCCATCGTGCATATCGCCGCCATCCCCGACGCGTCCGTGACCCAATTCCCGTTGCCGGTTGGGACGCGGTACGGGTCAGAGATGATTGCGACATCCGCTCCCCATTCCACTGCCGATTGCCACAGCAGTTGCTGGGCAGCCGAACAGTGGTTCAGGTTCAACTGCGCTACCTCGAACATGGCTGAGCATTGCTCTTTGCCTTAGCAGCATTGCTCTTGGACCCCGGGCAGCGGGGGCCACCTGCCATGTGGTTGGTAGGGGTATTCCCCTTCTCCGCGCATATAGTGCACCTCGGCGGCTTTTGGCAACCTCGCGCCTTATGGCCCTCCAAGCCGCACCATCTGCAAAGCTTGCTCCTGTCGGTGTTCTTGCAGTCACGGGCCACATGGCCCTGACCGAAGCACCTAAAGCAAGCCGTCACCAGTCGGGGAATACTGACGGGGCAGACCGACCAGCCCACTCGCACCCTCCCTGCGGCTACCGCCTTTCTGGCCTCAGCTGCAGAGAGCCTGATGGTAGCCACTTGGGTGGAGAACAGTCCCTTCCTCAAGGTAATCGCTGATTGCGGTACCTCGACTTGACACTGTTCCCGGAGCGCCGTGACTATCTCGGTCGCCTCCGTCACTTCGTCCAGGTCCTTGACCTGGATGGTGATAGTCGAGCCTAGCGACTTCACCTGCACCCCAGAACCAACAACCTCCTTTGCCAGTTTCTGGTAGGTTGGTCCCTGGTCCTTAGCACCACGTTTGAGCACCAGGAGCATCTCGCCTGTACGAGTGCGCCTGATGCTCCTCACGTTACTGCCCATCTCCACAAGGCGCTCGTCCGTTCTCATTTTCTTCAAGACTTCCGCGTATTTCGACGCGTCCGTCTTGAGGATGAGAGCTTCGCCCTTGTTCCTGGTCCGGGCAGCACTGCTCTTGGGGGCAGTTTTGTCCGGGGGTTTCGGGGGTTTCGGGGGTTTCGGGGGGGTACCCTTCTTACCGCCCTGCTTCCCGCCCTTGGAGCCGCTAGGTTTCTCAGTATTTCTATTGGCTATTCCAGCCCTCTTCTTCGGTACGTCCACCACCGCACTCTGTATCCGCTGATTTGCCGCAGATCCCGCCTCTCAAGGGTGAACAAACTGGCTGTCTACAAACAAATCATAGCACCTGCGATCCTCTACGCAGCTCCGGTGTGGGAATCATGTGCACAGACTCACAGGAACAAAATTCAGGTCGCTCAGAATAGAGTGCTGAGGATGGTTCTTGATCGTCCTTTCGACACTAGAATAACAAATTTACATGAAGAGGCAGGCATTGCCAAAATAGATTCCAAAATTAACGAAATTAAGACTAAATTTGCACAAAAATGTAATTTATCAGAACATGCTTTGATAAGCAATTTGTATATAGTAGGTTAGGTTCATATAGTAGTTGTAGATTAGTTGTAGTTGTAAATAGTAGTTATAAGTAGACTCCTTTTTCCAATTCAAATCATACCAATCCCACCAAGGTGGTCATACTTTAAAATAGGCCTGATAGGACTAGAAACTGTAAATAATAATTAAAATCTCACTGTACTAAAATTGAAAAGACGCATCTGTGTCACTTGAAAAAATTCATACATGTAAACCACACAAACACAAGAAATAAAGATCATTTAACTGTTAAAAAAAAAGTCGGTCGTGATAAGATTGATGACAACTTCCAAAGTGATTATAAAGCGAATTTAATATAACGGAAAGAAAACTTTAAAGTGACGACGAGGATAAATTGAAAGGTATAGTGAAAGTGATAGGAAGGACTGAACAGGGAAAGTGATAGGAAGGACAGCACAGTGAAAGTGATAGAAAGAACAAGCAAAGTGACGAGCCGGTCGTTAACGACGCCATTACAACATTCGGCCATTTCGTTTGGTGCGTGTTTAGTGCTATTGAAGCGACACGTTTATTTTCCCCCAGCGATCGGTTGTGCACGGTACAGGAGGACGTGGGGTTTTATAATCCAAATCATCGTCGGTCCGTCAAGCATTCTACGAGCCGGTAGACGGTATCCCAGTCGATTTATCGGAGAAGTAAGCGATCAGCAGCAGGAAGCAAGATTTCAACCTAGGAACGTGGTTGCAAGAACAAAGAAGGTACGACATTTTATTTTTTGCCTTTGTTTCAATTGATAGTATTTTTTACCTTAAGGAGATATTTTTTGTGACAGACATGGCGTTGATTGGTACAGTAGACCTATACGTTCCAAATATGTCATTTTCTTATTATGTAGAGCATTTGGAGTATTTTTTCTCGGCCAATGCCATAACCGAAAGAAAGAAAAAAGATTTATTTATGAATTTGAGTGGTATGGCAGTTTTGCTCTATCCTGCCACGGATTTGAAGACTTTGAGCTATGCGGATATAACAAAACAAAAACTCAAAGAGAGATTTGACAGAGTAGATTCTGAGGTCGTATTGCGTTATAAATTCCGATGCCGTGTGTAAAGCCCGACGGAATCGGGTAAAAATTACATTTTTGCAGTAAAATTATTGGCGGAACAGTGTGATTTTGGGCAGTTCCGCGATTCGGCTATACGTTATCAGTTAATATGGTATATACGATAAAGATTTACAACGGCAATTGTTGAATGAAGATGAGTTGCTTTTGAAAACGGCAGAAAAGTTAGTCAAAAATCGAGATCTCGCTTCGTCCAGAGTGCGAGCTATAAATTCGGATAACGTCAATTCAATTAGACAGCGAATGTGATTCGAGATATTAAAGGCGTTATGATGTATATCGTAAAAATGGTAGATCTCGTAGCAGGAACAGGGACCGTTTTGGAAGGAACGAAAGAGGACGGTCAGATCAGGAGCATAGATCATCCAGCAGGGGAAGGTACGCGAATTTTATATGCTATTTTTGCAAGCAAAAAAAACATGTACAAAACAATTGTTTCCGATTAAAAAATAGCCATAAAAACGCGGTTAATTTCCTTGAAGACAATTCGGATACGGAAAACGTTCACGACTACTTTAAGCGGTTGAGAGTTGAATACGACACTGAGAGGGAGTCAAAAGGTGATTATCCATGCCTGATGATTAAATCTGTTAACCGTATTAGTGAACGTTGTCTCCTAGAGGCAAAAATTGAAGGTAGGATGTTAAAAATGGAGGCTGATAGTGGCTCAGCCGTTTCGGTTATTGATAGAATTCAATTTTCAACGTTTTTAGAAGTTTTCCAATTAAAGACAACGTAAGTTGGTGGTAGTACATGGTTCATCTTTAGAAATTTTTGGAATCTCGTAGTTGCAAGTTTCTCTTAACAGAAAGAAAGTCATAATGGAGCTTGTGGTATTGAATACCATCCACCATTTTGTTCCTTTATTGGGAAGAGACTGGTGGGGGGTGGAGGCAGAAATTGAGTATCGTAAAACGGGGTACCCAACAAACAATTTGAGTTGATTAACAGCTGAATAAGCCATTTTTTTAGCTGAATAAGCTTATTTTTGCCTGAATAAGCTCTTATTAAACATTCAATGTTTGTTGGGTAACATTGATAGTTTTTTAAAGTATATTCTACATATTTTTTACAGCAATGAATGTTTTTCAAATTTTATATTTTTAAAACAAGTACTGAGGATCCAAGAGTTAATTCGTTAGTAATATGTCTAACGGAAATTACAGCATTAACACTATTTTTTTAGTTTTGTGACCGAACTTCAGTATTTTGATATGGGGCTACTTTGATAATGCTCGATGAATGTAGAAAAAAAATGAATGAAACTCAAACAATTTAGTTCTTTAAATATGAAACTTTGAATGAGCATAATATCAGAAAACTTCATAAGCAATAAGAATACAACATTAAATTTGTGATGGCAGTATCGGAAATACATTTCATAAGTGATGGCGAAAAACACGAAAATTATTTTTTAATATGTTTTAGAATATGTAACACAAACTATATAAAAACTTTATTCGAATTAAACACCCCTCACCATCCCTCTCCAAAGGGGGAGTTTGGTAAAGAGAGATGAAAACCGATTTGTACCTTCCTTAAAAGTTGTCCTAGCTCGCTATTCTAATATCTATATGCAATCTTCACACGGCAGTACTCTAACGGAACTATCAACTCTATGCTTTCATCTACTCCACCTATCGTATAAAAATTACCACTACAGTCTGTTATTTGAAATTAGCATCTTCAACTATGTAAATCGTTGACTTCACGTAGAAGTAATACTAAAACATATAGTCAAAGTACGATTAAGGGGTTATATTGATATAATAGGTTGCCTCAAGGAACTCCTCTAGTGCGGCTATTTTTCAACAAATTATGGAGACGATATTGAAAGGAATTAAATTCGTATATTGCTATTTAGATGACGTGTTGATTGCTGTCCAAAATATAGATTAATACAAAGAAAGTCTAATTGAGGTTTTAGATCGTTTGTCGAAGGCGAATATCAAAGTTAATTATAACAAATGTAAATTCTTTGTAACTAAATTACCTTATTTAGGTCACATACTTTCAGACAAAGGGCTCTTACCGAACCCTGATAAAGTTGCTACGATTCAAAACGCAGAGATTCCTCAAAATGTAACGCAATTGAAGGCTTTTCTAGGATTAATTAACTATTATGGAAAATTTCTTAAAAATCTTTCCTCAACTTTGAGTCCTCTTTACAGATTATTAAAAAGAGACACAAACTTCGTGTGGGAAACTTGTAAAAGTGTAAAACTCAGTTACTGAATGCAGATTTTTTAGTCTTGTATGACCCAAAACAACCTATTGTTGTTTGTACAGATGCTTCTTCTTATGGACTGGGAGCAGTAATATAGCATATTATTGATGGAACATAAAAACCTATATGTTTTGCTTCGTTTTCACTCAACTCAGCTCAAAAAACGTATCCTATTCTCCACCTTGAAGCACTGGCTATTGTTTCCACAGTCAAGAAATTCCATAAGTTCTTATATGGGCAGAAATTCATTGTCTATACTGACCACAAACCACTTTTGGGAATTTTAGGAACAGCAGGAAGAAACGCGATTTTCGTTACAAGGCTTCAACGCTATGTAATGGACTTATCCATTTTCGATTTTGAGATTTTGTATAGGCCCTTGGACAAAATGGGCAATGCAGATTTCTGCTCAAGGTTTCCACTTAGTGTCGAAGTTTCCAAAAGTCGCGAAGTCCCAGGAGTAAATAGTTTGAATTTCTACCATTGAATTTCCATTGATCGCTAAGGAAACAAAGTCAGATCCATTCTTGCAAGAAATAAACACATTTTTGAAATATGGCTGGCCTGAACGAATCAATAAACATTTTAAAGATAAAATATTTATTCGCAACATCACGATTTGGAACTTGAAGATAGTTGTTTACTATTTCAAGAAAGAGTAGTAATTCCAAGCACCTTACAACAACAGGTGCTTAAACTCATGCAAGCCATATTGGAGTTATTAAGATGAAACAATTGGCTAGACGGTGTGTCTACTGGTCGGCATAAATGCCGATATTGAAAATTATTCACAAAAGTGTAGTATCTGCCTTAGAATGGCCGTAGTGCCAGGTAAAAACATTACTTCTAAGTGGATCCCTACTAAAAGGCCATTCAGTAGGATTCACGCTGACTTTTTCTTTTTTGAACGTATCACATATTTATTAATCAAAGACAGCTTTTCAAAATGGCTTGAAGATATCTGGATGAAGGGTGGAACAGAGGCTGACAAAGTAATCAAAGAACTATCTGGGTTTTTTGCAAGATTTGGTTTGCCAGATGTGGTAGTGACCGATAACGGTCCTCCGTTTAACCCGCAAAGTTTTGCTACCTTTCTGGAGAGGCAAGGAGTTTGTGTTATGAAGAGCCCACCTTATCATCCACAAAGCAACGGGCAAGCCGTACGGCTAGTTAGAGTGACAAAGGACATTTTGAAGAAAGTTTTGTTAGATCAGGAGATGAGACATCTTGATCTTACCGATAGGTTAAACTATTTCCTGTTCAATTATCGAAATACTTGTTTATCAGATGGGGGAGATTTTCCATCAGAAAGGATTTTTAAATATAAACCCAAGACCATGTTGGATCTGATAAATCCAAAAAAGTCTTACAGGAAACAGTTAGTAGAAAACGATGCCAAACCTGAAATACCTACCCAACGTTCCTTGATAACGTCGATTACTATTATCGAAGACTTACTCAAAATTGACTACAGGAGACAAGGTTTGTTACAGGAATAACAAAATAACAAGTACTGAACGATAGTTAGAGGCAACATTCATTAGAAAATTATATACAAATGTATTCCAGATCTCGTTGAAGAGCCATCTGATCTCGGCCCACAAGGGGCAGATTAGACTGGTCAGTCAAGATGATCGTCGGCGCAAGGTGGCGCATCGTTCCGCGGAGGAAGTGGAGGAAAGACGTGGAACAAAGAGGAGGCGAGCTGAATCCGAGGATTAGTGTGCTTTTCGGGGGTTTCCGCTTTTACAGTTACACCTGCCCCAACCCCCCCCCCCCCCAGCATGAAGCTAATTTCATCCTCAAGCATTAAGTTCGGATCCTCCGAAATCGAAACGAAAAGCTACATATTGCCCGAGGGATACTGATAACGAAGTGAGAAGGTCGGCCCGTATCCGGAAACAGAATAATGATGAAATGTTTGTGTATTACAAATAATCGAATTTTACTTCAAGATTGTTGTGGATTGCAGAAGAATGCCTTTGTTTATTATTATCATAAGTTAGATTAAAATTCTGAATTTTAGTAATTCATTCGAAGATAAGAATCTTAGCTAGTAGAATTAACTCGTTATTAATTACATAGATTTCTAATCATTCCGTATCAGATTTTGAACGTTATGGGGGAAGGTAAGATTCGCATTTCGGTTTATCTTCCTTTTCGATGATTAGGTCCGAACCCCCTTGATCGATCAAATATCAAAACGCAATATGAAAAACGCAAACACATATAAACACTATTGTAATGCTTGATCGAGAAGTAGGGGAATTTACGTATTCTCGGCAACCTAAGCAGCGACCTTCTTTCTATAGCCTTTTTCTCTATGGAACGCACACATATGCAGTATTGGTTTGTTTACAATCTTTTGCTGCCAGCTGCTCTAACAATTTCAGTTGAAAGAATTGTCA